TGGTGGGGAAGAAGAGCTTTAAACATTCGTCTCCAACCAAGATGGCAAGCACCACATTGCAGGAGGTGGAACCACTCAGGAAAGGTCAGGGGGAGGGTGGGCAGACTGGACCAAGTCTTGATTGTGACTTAGTGTGCTTGTGACTGTGAAGACTGCCTCCCACCAAGGCCCAGGAGTGCCAGCTGTCTCCTCTCTCCATCCTGGGCTTTGAAGAGCAGGAGGGTGGCTTGGGTGTCCCCAGCCACATGCCAGCCTGACTTGAAGAAACTCTTGCTTCACATGGTCAGCGTTTCACCTCCCTGCCACCGGTGTCCAGACATCAGTGACCTCTGGCTGGGCCACTGGGAGTTCCTTTATTCACTCATTGATTAGATGCTTCTTGGGCTCCTTTCAAGTGCCAGACACTTGGCCTTGGGATCCAACACAGGAAGAGACAGACATGAACTCATAGGCAAACTAGGCATAAAAACGACTGCTGACATTTATCGAGTTCTCACTGTGTGCGGGTCGCTGGCCTGCAGCCCAACCGACCTCCTTTAATGCTCCAAACAGTCCCAAAAGTAGGTAGAAGAGCCAAAAGAAGCCTCAGGTGAAATCAGGTTAGCTTCTGATGAAGGGTATTTTCCGAGAGAACCAAGTGAGTTATGGGTAAGCTAAGAGTTTTCCAGGCCTGTGAAACAGCCAATGAGGAGGAGGCTCTGGGGAGAAAAGGGGCCTAGGAATCTAGGAGGCTCCCATATCTTCTCCGCCTGGGACCTTAGCTCCTTCGTGTCCTGTTCGGACCTGTCTGGGTTTCTGGATCCTTGCTTTCGCCGCTCGAGAGCAGCGCCTCCTGGAGGACACTCAGGAGGTCTCGCAGCCCGCATAGCCGCGGACGCGCGCTCCTCTTCCGCCTTCCAGCCTGGGCGCGGACGTGGGCCCCCAGGCTCCCAGATCCCGCCCACCCCAGACCTGTGCCCAGTGCGCATGTGTCCTGGCGCCTTCCGCTCAGCCTAATCCCGGAGCCCGCTGGGTTCTCAGCTGTCGCTTTGCGCCTCGGAGCTCGCTACCCGCCTGTGAGTTTCCGGCTCACGGTCTCGTAGTCCCCACGCCGTAGTTACTGGTACTCACTGTGTGTGTGTGTGTGTGTGTGTGTGTGTGTGTGTGTGTGTGTGTGTGTGTGTGTGTGTGTGTGTGTGTGTGTGTGTGTGTGTGGCGGGGAGAGATGGAGGAGATGGAAAGGACGACGTCTGGTCGGATCTCAGCGCCGTCCCCACGCCGTAGTTACTGGTACTCACTGTGTGTGTGTGTGTGTGTGTGTGTGTGTGTGTGTGTGTGTGTGTGTGTGTGTGTGTGTGTGTGTGTGTGTGTGTGTGTGTGTGTGTGTGGCGGGGAGAGATGGAGGAGATGGAAAGGACGACGTCTGGTCGGATCTCAGCGCCGCCTTGTGCTAAGCTGCTGAAATGCCTTAGACGAGTTAACTTCTCTTTAAGTCTGGTCTGGCTGGATTGTTTGGCAGATGAACAAAGACCGGGGGTGTGCAGCAGTGGGCTTGGTGAGAAGGCCTCCTGAGCAGCCAGTGTCATGCTGGAGCATCTTGGGTAGCCCTTACTTGTGTCTTCCCTGGCGGATCTCTCAAGATTTTTGATTTCCCTCCTTCTACTCCTCTTTTTGCGTTTAAACTTCCCTGGGTCTTTCGGGGTGCAGCCTCTCCTTGTCCCTCTGTGTGTTGTGCTAGCTCCCACAGGGCGCACTTTGGGGTCAGCAGCCGGAGCTTTGAAGGGGAATCAACAGGGAAGGGGTAGCAGATGCTAGGCCACAGTCTGGGGTAAGAGGGTCAAACCAAGTGTCCCATAGCGTGTTGATGCCTGTGTTGGCTCCGACATTTCTTCCCTGGCCTGGGCTCTCAGAGCTGAAGCCTAAAAGGTAGTGAGAGGAAGACACTGCTTCATCATTTGCAGGTGCTAGTGCAAAACAAAAACCCCTGGCCCCTTTTTTAAAAATTAAGAGTTTTAGAATAGAATAAAGCATGAAACTTAAGTTTGAGCCCTTCGGCATGCCAAACCCTGTGTGACTATTGCACAGGGCACTGTCTACCAAGTTGGACCTGCCAGTCACCCGCCTCCATATATATCTTTTGCTGTAATCAGGATCAAGACATTTGGGTATATCCCCACTCCTGGGCAGGAGCCAAGGTTATCCTGGCCTCAAGGCGATTGGAAGTGCTTTGGGGTATAGAGTGGGGAAGCCCTTCATCTGGAATACTCAGCAGGGGATGGCAGCCTGCAGAGTCCCAGCTCTGCCACCAGCTTCAGATCCATCACACTTCACCTTCTGAAGCTTAGCTTTGTCACCTGTAGGATGAGGACAGCTGCCTTATAGGGTGGGGGGCATGAGTAGGATATGACATCACATGTATACAGAGAGGCTGGGGAGCCAGACTCTGGGTTTAACTGACCAAGTCACTTTGGGGCTAACGGTTCAGTGTCTGTAGCTCAGTTTCTCAACTGGCAGAGAGTAGCGTTGCTGTGAGAATGCTGTGAGTTACTACCTGTGAGTTGCTGAGAACTGTGGCTACCACTTAGGCCCAGCAGATATCAGCTGTTGTCACTGTGTTGCCCATGAGCCAGTCATGGTGGCGCATGTCTGTAATCCCAGCACTCAGAGGTTGAGGCAAGGGCTGGGAATGTAGCTCAGCGGTACAGTGCCTGACTGGGCTTCATAGTGGATTCAAGGCCAGTGTGAACTATATAGCGAGACCCTGTCTTAAAAAAAAAAAAAATCAAAACTATGTTGCCTATGAAAGACAGAGTGTTCAGATTTTTTGTTTTTGGTAGTACCAGGGATCAAACTCATGACCTCATGCTTGCCAGGCAGGCACTTAGGTCACTGAGCTGAGTGTTCACATTTGAAGTGAGAAGTTGTGTGGGTGACATAAAACACCCACTAACATGAAACAGTGTACACCTGGGGACTACATAGGTGCTCAATTCAAGGCCCCTTAGGTGGAGACACTCACTTTGTGTGTCAGCCATGGTACATCCTAATTTACAGGTACTGAGGGCGAGTTTAATGTATTCTAAGTTTAGATATCCCTGGAGGGTTATTGAAGATTTTTGTGTATGCCTGAGAAAGATTAATTCCTTGCTGAATGCTAGTTAGATAAGAAATGGGCTTTAGGTAGGTGTAGTGAGGCATGCCTGTTATTCTAGCACTCTGGGAGACTGAGAAAGAGGACTGCAAGTTTGAACCCACATTGGGCAACTTACTGAGACCTGGTCTCAAAATAATAGCTCTGTGGGGATGCAGTTCAGTGTAAATGCCTTGGGTTCAATTATCAATACTGGAAAAAAGAGAAAAAAGATTCCCTTCCAATGCCAAAATAGAGGCAAGTAGTATCCATACAAGCTAAAAGGAAAGACAGGTACAGTGGCATACTCCTGTAATCCTGGATACTTGGGAGGCTGAGACAGGAGGTTGAAGGCCAGCTCGGGAGTGGGGAAGATACAGGTTAGTGATGAAAAGGTGAGTTAATGTGGAGGTAAGACCTCTGAGTGAGCTGCTGCAAACACTTGTTCAGTGGCTCCTGGGCTTATTACGTGTCAAGCTCTGTTTAGGAGCCAGGCATGAATGAGTGGCACAGACTCAGCTGTGTCCTATGAAGTTTCTAGTCCAGGTAGGGACACTGACCTGAGAGGACTCCAGCAGACACTGGGAACACCCATTCCAGTCTTCAGCAGTGTGGGCTGACTTCCCAGAGGAAGTCACATGTATATTGGGGAAGGTTTAACATACATAAGGAACAGAACGAGCATAAGCCCAGAGATGGCAGAACAGGTTAGCTGTCAGGAGAAAGGAGCAGGAGGTTCAAAGGTGAGTGTCTAAAAGCTTGACAGCCCCATGGGCCACACTGAGACTTTATATACTGAAGTTTTCAGCAAGGAAGACAACTCAAATTTTATCTTCCAAGAGGTGTTCTGGCTGCCAATGTGGAGATGGGTTGGACCGGAAAGTGGGAGACTCCTTAAAAGTTGTTGCTATAGTTGAGGTGGCATGAACTAGGGTGACAGAGATGAGAATAAAAGGAGGCTGAGGGTTTGAGATACTGGGTTTGATTCTTCCTTTCATGGTAACATCGAAACAAGGCTACATCCATATCCATCCTCAGGAAACCAACATCAGCTCAGCCCTCATCAGTGTAGGGGAGTAGGATTAACAGGGAGCTCCTGCTCAAGAATCCCTAGGTAGGACTCTGGTCCTCTTGGGATGTGGTACCTGGGTAAGGAGCACCTACTAAATTCTCAGGCAGCACTTAAGCATTTAGAGGCTGGAAGCTAAGTTAACATGCCAAGTGACAAACCATCATAGGGACGAGGTGGGGGGAAATGCCTATCGTGACCTACCTGGTTTAGAGCAGGGACTGCTTTCAGGGAGGAGCTTGACCTTGACATTGGGTGATGACTTGGTGGTGGTGGGGGTGAGGATCAGAAATAACTGGCCCATTCCCAGGAGAGCAACTCTAGGATCCCTTCCAGCTCTCACAAATGACTAGAGTACTGCCTTTTTTGGGGGGTGAAGTAGGATGGGTCAGTTAATCTCAATATTGAACCCCTTAGAAAGTTTCTGATGCCAGGAGTGGTGTAACATGACTGAAAGCTCTCAGGCTGATCCCAGGTTTGAAGCCAGCCTGGCAACTTAGTGAAATCTGGTCTCAGAAAATCAAGTTTGCCTTGAAGCACATGGTGGTGCTGGAAGCACGTTAGCACCTTTTGGTGCTACAGCATGGGAAGTACCCAGGAACCTCAGATGGCCTGGGGGCCAGAGTCTTGTTCCCCGCTTTTGCTGAGCCATGAACTCCAGGCCCAGACCGTGGGTGCCCCACCCTTGTGACCTTCCAACCACCCTCCCATGTGCACAGACACTAAAGCAGAAAGCTTTTGTTTTTAAAGGCTTTTTATTTAAAAACAAAAACAAAACAAAACAAAAAAAAACCAAATCAAAATACTTTCCATTGGAGGCTATTTTTTGTCTTTTAAAAATTTTATTACACAAATATCTCCCATTTCCATATGTCAGAGTAAAGATGTTCTTGTTCTTTCTAAAACCAATAGTGGAGAACTTTTAGAAAACAAAACAAAGTCCAACTAGCTTCCCTCCTTCCCTGGCCCAAAATAACCCTATTGTGTCAAGTGAGATAGCGTTAAGACTCACCCCCATAATGCTTACATTTAATTTAAAATTTTTAGCACAACATTGGAGATTGACTCTAAATCAGCAACAAAAAATATATATTTACAATATTTTCCCATAAAACAAAAAACACAATGAAATTCTTTTAAACATAGTGACTTTAGGAGTTTTATTTATGGAGCAATTATTTTTTTAATCACCAAGTGATTTTTATATTATATATATATTTATATATATATAAATTTTCTTCCTTTCCTTTGTGGTTTTTTGCCCCGATGCTTGGAAAGATGGAGGCAGAGGTCTGGTCCTGTGATCTGAGGAGGGTAGGTTCTCCTGGCAAGGCTGCAGCTAAAAGCAGATGCAGGAAGGTGATGGAACTCCCGGGTTCCTCTGTCCCCAAATAGATACTTTTCTCCTTGATGTGGACCAACCCTCACCTCTAAAAACCATTTTCTCCTCAGTGCCAATGAAAAGTAAAACCCAACAGGGGCACTGGTCCATTTGCTGCCATTGGGCTCCCTTTTCTGCTGACCAATTTGTGTGCACCGTAAAAATGCTTGTTTTTCCAAACCAAAATTCAAACATAAAAACCAAAACTCCAAACAAACTATCAGCTTGGAAATTTTTGTGGATGAAATGTCCCAAAGTCAGAGGCACTCTCCCGGCACAATCCCTGCTCTTGAAGGGGTCTCTCCACCTCCCCTTTTACAAAAAGACAATGTAACAGAACTTAATCTTCAGTATTTTCCACAGGAGCAACCGAGGGGGGGGGAGGCAGGAAGCTTCCAATTATGGGTTACTAACAATATTAATAAGGTTTTTGCTCAATACCCAGGGTTCTTTACAGGTAAGTTCCCCTAACTGAGGCACTCTGGAGTAAGTCACTGGCATTTCCTCAACATTTCAGCCCCAGACTTCTGGGGCCTAGAGACCAATGAAGGGGGAGAAGGTCACAGGAGCAGACTGCTGTTTTTAAGGTGCAGTCAAAAGAATCAGCAGAATGGAAGAAGGTACAGTGCCACCCCTTACCAGGACCCAGTTTCCTAAGAAGTTTAGTTAATGCCAGGGTGGATGGCAAAGAGGGGGGCCCTCTACCTCTATTGCTTTGGCAGTGGCAAAGGTGCAGCTGACGTCTCTCCTTAGGGTAGCGTCTCTCCTTAGGGTAGCTCATACTTCAGAGCCCTGGTGCCTTGCTCTGTCCCCTCCCCCCAGTAGGTTTAAGAGGAGGAAAGCCTGAGATTGGGCTACAGGAAAGGGACCGGAAGGGATGAGGCTGGAGAACAAGGAGGCGGGGCAAGGTTGTGCTATCAATCTCCTTAAAGATGGGGAGCAGAGTGCAAATTTGCGTCTGTCACTTAGAAGCTTTTGCCACAGGCTATTAAGCATCTCCTCACACACTTAAATACTGACCCCGAATAAATTCCGACCTTTATTTTCTTTCTTTCTTTTTTTTTAAAGTGCAGAAAGCTCTCTGCTGCCCTAGAGAGAGGATCTTTGGACAGACCGTTCAATGCAAAGTAAAAGGGGGCAGCTGATAGGGCTTGACAAAGGGTGGTGAAGTGGGAGACACTTCCTTCCCCCCTCTATACACACACACACACACACACACACACACACACACACACACACACACAGAGGCACATGCACACCCTCTTCCATGGCTATGGGCAGAGGGCAGGTGACTGGCTTCTAAGGACCCCTTGACCCTTGAAAGGCACCAGGTCAGTGAGCTGCTGGGGCAATGCACAGGCCTGGGCTCCTAGAGGCCACACTAAACCAGAGGCCTAGGGGCAGGTAGGGATTCAGCCAGTCCTCTGCTCTCCTCACCTGGCGGGGGAGAAAGGCTGCTCCCTCTGAGAACACGCATCCCAGGGAAGCCCTATTCAGGCAGGAAGGAGGACACGTGGAAAAGGGCAGTCAGTGGGAGGCAAGAGAGAGGGGAAACAAGGAGATGGTGCCTATCTCAGACTCTGCCTGGGTAGCAATGCAATGGGGGTGTTTCTGGGGTACAATTCCAGCTCTGAAGAGCATCAACCCCAATAAGTGCAACAAGGGCCTCAGAGAGACTAGTGGGAAAGTCAGGGGCTGGATGGAAGGGGATACACTGTATTACATGAATGAGCACGAACGCTGGACAGCATCAAGCTCAGGGAGAGGAAAGGAGGGTGAGCACAGACACGGGCACGAGGCTTTGGACATCAACAGCACCAGTGGGATCTGCTGGGCCTGGCATTCCTGGGGGTGCTGGCCCCTCCTGCAGAAGCTGGGAGAGTGTGACAGAGGAGAGACACGCACTGGACACCACGAGGAGAACCTGGCTGTGGAGGCAGGACTGTTTTCTTCCCTGGAGTCTGCTCTGAACCAGGCACTGCTGGGGCCACGGGTGGGAAGGGGGGTCCCAAGATCTGGCGCAGGTGAAGGTTGCACAAATCCCCTAGATGGTGAGCCCAGCCTCCTGGCAGGTGAGCAACTAAGCAGGCACCACGACAGCACAGCCTGTGCTTTCCTTTCCCTCACATCAACTGCTACTCCCTTTTCCTTGGGAGAGGAGCAAGGAGGTAAGCCTGGTGTTGTCCACCCTCTCTACCCCACCTGTGGGAGAAGGGCTCAAGGACAGAAGAGCAGAGAGGGAGTGTGACGCTGGCCTCAGAGCCCGTGCAGGGTCAGGGAGAGGCTCTCCTCAGCGGGGAGGCTAGGGAAGATCCATTTCCTGTTTAGTTCAGGCTAGGCGTGTCTTAGCTAATCTTCTGTATCAGCTTCTCATCAGACAGGCAGTAAAGGCTGTTGATGGACAAGTCTGAGATGAAGTGCTCGCAGGCTTTTCGAGTGATCTGCTTGCATCCTCGAAGGTCAATCAGGGTGACATTGGCAATGCGCCGTAGGTACATCAGGGTCTGGTCTGTCAGTTTATTGCAACCTGTAGGTGAAGTGGCCATGAAGTCACAGGTCACATACACACTGCCACAGATACCCTCCCTCACCATTGGTTCCCTAGCTGTGTTTCCCCAAAATGCTAAATAAACAAACAAACAAAACAAAAAAACCACTTAGTCTGTGACTACCTGCCTCAGAGACTAGACTTTCTCGCTGACTCACTCCCAGCACTATGGACATAAGTACACGAGCTGACCAAACTGCAGCTGGATGGTGGCCGTGCACAAGGACACCTTACATACTGTATAGTTCTCACCCCTCCCCAATAATTCAAATGAGCACAAATGGTTCAACTGACCCCCAGTCACTGGTTTACTGGTCAAGTTCTAGGGAGGGCTGAGACCTCCAGAGGCAGGGGTACCCGGCAGCAGCAGCAGCGTACCTGCCATATTGAGCTCTGTGAGGGAGTAACGAGTGGAAGACCCAACAGCAGTGAGAAGGTTGGAGGACTGATCTGTAAGATGGCTGCAGTGACTGAGGTCAAGTCGAGACAGGAGGGGCATGTGGCGAATGATGAGGCGAAGTGTGGCGTCTGTGATATCAAGGCCTGCCAGCCGGAAGTCAGTCATGTTTCGGAGCTTGCTGCGATTGTCCTGACCTGCATAGGCAAGAAAAAAAACCATGATCGAAACTTTTAATTCTCCAATACAGCTCCAAAGCTCCAGGCAGCATCAGCTACTTGCTGGCCAAGCCCCATTGATAGGGCTTAGAAGAATTGCCCACGCCCAGCCCTGCCGAGTAAGCAGCATGTGGGGGCAGTTTCTAGGAAACAAGACAAGTTTTCTTTCTTCCCAGAGCCAGATTCTGCCTCACGTGCATGGGTATGTATGGAATGCTCCTCCCCTACCCACAGCTCCAAGCTTTTCTAGGCTATCCTGGCAGCAGCTGTTGACATTCCATCTCAGCTACTAAGGTTTGAGAGACTTCCTCAGGCTCTTCCTCTCCAAGCCCCAAACTCCACTAACCCAGAGAGTGGACTCATTTTCTTCAGTTATTGGTAATTATCTCGCTTGTAAATAGGTAACCTGTATTTGTACACAGTCCATCTTTGTGTTCTCATTTTGCATTCTATTCTTCCACAACTTCAGTTTTGAGATTACCTCAGCTTTTGAGGATGAGATCTGTGGAAAACCAAAGCTTCAAGACAAGCACAGAAAAATAAGTTCCGGGGCATACCTGGTTTATCAGCTGATGGAGTAAGCAAGTCCCGAATTTGAGGGTCCTTAATTCCTACTGCCCACCGAAGATCAAGGGTCCTGAGAAGGGGGCAGCTGGAGGTGCTGAGGGCAGAGACTGCAGACCAGGAACAGCCAGCTAGGAGGAGGTCTTTCAGGCCTGCAATGAATAGAAACAGAGACAAGGAATATACTCTACTAACCCATTCAAAGTCTCAGCTGACAGCCAACCAGAATAAAGTGAATCGATTTCCAAGCTAATGGGAGAGAAGAACTATGTGCTTTTCTAATAATCAAGCTCGAAGATGTCTATGATACCCTATGTTGTATCTAGGCTTTGTTGTTAAACCAATTGCTTAGCTCCTGCTAGAGCAATGAAGAATGAGTGAGATCTCAAAAAAATGTTCAATGGCTTACAAGGTGCTGCTGATCAAGGCACACCTGATTCTAGTTTTCCCTTCAGTGGCTGTGCTGAGGAGACCTGCAGGGCTGATAGCAGAACCTAAGCCCATTCTTTACTCTCTAGTGCAGTCACTGTGATGGCCCCAGGGACATCTCCTGGTAAGCAGAAAGGCAACAATGGCTTGCGATTGCTGACCTAAATGGTCCTGAAGTACCTGTAAGAAGCACTGCCAACAGCATAGCTCACTTACCTGGCAGCCTATTGACCAGCCATGTCAGCTGCTTTTTGGAGATGTTGGTCCAACTGAGGTCAAGGCTAACTGGTTGCCTCTTGATGATGCCACTGAGAGCCTGGGGTACAATGGCCTTACACCTACTCAAGTCAATTTTTGTCCAAAGTCTCTTGTCACAGCACCTGACAGAAGGGAAGAGAACTAGCTGTCATTAACTTAATATCCCTGTCAAGAGAGCTCCCATCAGACCACTGGAGGCTTTTAGAAAAAGCAGAATACTTTGAGGGTCACTTCCCTATATTCTTAGGAGTACCAAGGATCCCACCCTGAGATTCTGTGCCTCAGTACTGACAAAACTTTCTTATCCTATAGCAACTAGACACTTTACAAACCTGTATGTTAAATAGTATTTAACTTAACAAGTTCACACTGACTTCCTCTGAAGAGGTCGGAAACACAAGTGTTATATATAAAGGAAACTTCAAATTGCTTGACTTCATACTGTCTGAAGGTACGTGGCTTGCTTCATCCTCTCCCTTGAGTAATAAATGGCTGCACAAGATTCAGGGTTCTACTATATACCTCTAAAATATGCCCCATTTTAAGTTCGTTACTGCCAAGGGCCCAAAGAGACTCCTTATCAGAACTTGAGCCTTCCCTCACCCTTCGGTTTATGAGGCAGTGCTGGCTTGACATTTTCTAGCCAGCCCAGTCCAGAACTGAGAGGAACAGTTTTCACTGCAACCTACAGATCCACAGGCCACAAACGACACTATAACGTGTAGGTTTCATTTAGTATTTTATAGTTTCTGCCTCGGAGCCCAGCTCAGAGTTTGGTTGACAGGGTGGGGAGACGGCGCACAATGAGTGTCTTGTGTGCCCTAGCCTAGAAACCAAGGGGTTGAGCCAGGGACGCCCACCAGCTCTACAAAGAAAAATATTAAGAGAATCTGGGCTGATCAAATGTTAATTCTGACTTGAGAAATATGAATGTGTTGGCAGAAAATAGGTCCTGAAAGACTTCTATGGCAAGAGCAAGCTGCTGGCTACAGAGCAAAGAGCAGGAGGGGTGTTCAAACCTGAGAACACTCTCCTAGAGGGCTCTCAAGAGTACACTGTTAGACCTGCTCCATAGAATCTGCAGTTTTTGTGTGTGTGCGCACGCATGTGTGGGTGCATGGCATGTAACTAATGAATAAGCGAGCGAGCCCAGGACTTTTACACTGAGCTACAGCTCAGCCCCTTTTTATTTTGACAGGGTCTCAGTAAGTCATTACACTGCAGGCTAGGCTAGGACTTAAAATACTCCTGTCTTAAGTCTCCCTTCAGTGCTGGGATGACAGGTATGCAATGCCACGCAGCCTTAGAATCCATGTTTTTAACAAGTTAACAGGGAAATGCCCATGGCAGGATGCCACATTTTGGGAACTACTATAACGGGGTGACCCAGATGTAAGGGATATATATCCTAGAGCTTCAGGTAAACCCACAATACCCAACAGAAAGCTCTTTGTTCATTACCACTATGGATTCTCCCCTCTAATTGTCTGTTCAATTTGAGAAACAACTGATCTCTTGAACAAGGAAAACTAAGTCTCAGAAAGCTTCACAAGTGGACCCTGCTTGATGGAGAAAGGAATCATGGTTTAGGGTGGGGGCGGGGGTGTAGAGAAGAAAAACTGGTAGATTATAAACTCCTCAAATTCACTTCGGAAAACATGCCTACTTCTCTGAGGGTATTTAAGTGTAGCTATCTGTGTCACCAAAACCAGAAGATGACTAGCACACTGGATTTTCAATCAGCGTATGTTAAGTGGAGCTGATGACCATGTGTGTGGTACGACTTTCAGCCTGTAAGGCTGAGAATTTAGCATACAGTGTACAAACCCATCTCCCAAATCAGATCCCTCTCCCAAACAATGAGAGTTGACGAACACAGAAGGGAGATGAGGCAAAGGTCAAATTCTCCTACATGACATCTTCGGACACAATAGGCCGTATCTTTAACAGAACCCACAGCCTGAAAACAAATGAGCCCACTGATTCCTTACAGATCCTCGAAGAGAAGCCTTCAAATGCTGAGGTACATTCTGTTCTGTTACACAAGACCTGCCACCTATTCCCAGACCCCTATTCTTAAGCCCTTGTATCCCTGCTCACCATTTATACCACGTCTTGCACACTCGCATACATTCACAAAGTTCTCTGCGGCTGAGGTAGCGGAAGACAGACATCCAGACCTCCCGCTGCATCCAGCTTTCGTCTCCATCCTGAGCCCAACTGCCCCGGCCATTCAGCCTGGACGCACCCCCCTCCTCTGCACTGTCATCTTCCTCCTCCTCCTCCTCTTCTTCCTCCTCTCCCCCCAGCCCCTCCTCATCCCCACGCTGGGGGGTTCGGGCTGGACAGTGCTGCACTAGCACGCGGGGGGAATGGCGAAGATTGGCAGAGGAGGCCGTGATGGCCTGCAGCTTGGGTACAATGGATGTCCCGTGGAGCTCTTTGGTGGGCCTCTGTAGCGTGACAGTGAGGTACGATCCCCGGATCTTGGCTTTCTCAACTTCAGACAGCTCCTTTTTGCCGCTGGGATTGTTCTCCTTTTCCCGTACCATGGTGCGCTCTGTGGCTTGCAGCCGTAGCAACTGCCGCCGTTTGAAGCGCTCATCGCGGCTGGCACTGTGGTGGTCGCTGGGGCCAGCCCCAGGGGATGACCGAGTCACCATACCCCGGGGGGAAGCGGGGTCGTGGATGAGCTGCAGCATGGAAGTGGGTGAATGGGGCGGGGGTGTGAGGGGCTCATCGCAGCTCCGCAGGGGCCGCAGGACTTTGGCTTGCACAGCTTCTTCATCACTCTCTTCCATTTTCCGCTTCTGCAAAATGCGCCCAGAAAAGCAACATCAGTGCTTCCTTTTCTCCAAATCCTCTAAACTGACAGGGTGAGCCTGAAAGAAGACTGGTCACTGCTACCAGAGGGGCTCATTTCCTCAGAGCCTGCAATTTAGACTCTGCAAAGATGCGCAACAGAGCTCATGCTACACCAGAGAACACTGATTGTGGAACAAAAATCATTAAATGGGTTACTTGGGAAACCCATTTCTGATAAAAAGGATGGCGGTTCAAGTACAGAGGAGTGAGACTCAAATCTGGGCTGCTTGATTCTATACCCAATGTTACTTATTTCTTGTCCCAACTTCTGGATCATTCCTTGGGAAAAATACTGTTTAAAGTCTACCACTGTATAACCCAACCATTTTAAAATCTTTCTTTTTTTTTTTTTGGTACTGGGGATCGAACTCATGACTTCACATTTGCCAGGCAGGCGCTTATGCCACTGAGCTACATCCCCAACCCCCAACATTTTAAATCTTCTCTCATTCAGCTCTTTTACTCAAGTGATATGTTTCTTATTAGTAGTGGAAAAAATAACACTTGGATGATGAAGCAGGGACCAAGAACAGCAAAAGCCACCAACTTTTAGATTTTCAGCTCCCTAGCACTTCAGCTTGGCTTTCCCAGCTGCAGCCTTCTATTCCCCATGAGAGAGAGAAAGCAGAATGAGAACCTTGGTGAGAAATTGCACCACTGCCAAGGGATCTGCTTAAGACTATAGTAAGGAACTCCATACAGGGCCTCACCTCATCCTGTGACACCCTGCTCACCAGACAGTTGTCCTTTCCTGGAAACCACTTCGGCTACACTGTGACAAAATCCAGTCAATACTGCCAAGAGGAACTCTATCAGTAGTTTAAATTTTCCTTCGGAGATACTTTATGTCCCTAACCAACAGTCTTGGGCTATGTTCCCTTTTCTCTTCATACTCCTTCGTCACATGGTTGGGAGGGAATAACCATCTTCTAGGTGCTGGCTTTGACAACATACAGGTATTAAGAGAGTGATTGAAACCCAGCATCTATCAACCCCTCTGCTATGTCAGGGATGCCAACTCTCAACACTAGCAGTGAGGACAAATGTAAAGTCATACAGGGCCAAGAATTTGGAATAAGGAGAATTTTAGCACTGGTCAACTTGCAAAACCCTTGCCCTCAAAGACATTTAAACTGTAACTTTAGCTACCTCAATGCCCAAATGGAAGAAATAAACAAGCTAAGAAATTCCCTTATGACCCTTCCCTACTCTAGTGGAGGGGTCCCTAAAAGACTGATGCAAGGCCAGCTGCCTCCTCCCATATGTGCCCTTAGCATATGTGCCCTTGGCTTGCCAGCCTGAGTAACCAGAGCCCTTTTAGATATTACTGGCGACTAGAAGGCCAGCAATCTCCACTGCCTGGCCAAGGTCATGGAGCTGGTCCCCATTTCCTCCAGGAGAGGGACTGCCTTTGAATGACACAATCTGGGCATGTGGGGGTTGGCAGGTCTTTCTATCGGGCCACAGAGGTGAAGATGACAAAAAAATGTAAATTTGCTTAACTAGAAACTCCAGTATTTAAGGGTAACTCCAGGCCACTGCCTCTCCTCCAATAACATTTCTCAGGAGAAAGCCTTCGTACCTTTCTTCCCTCAACAGCCCAGCTGTGGTTCCTCCCTTTCTAGTGCCCTAGAGTATAAGAGGACCTCAGGAATTTAAGGATCCCAACTTCTACAGTATTTAGAAATACAAAAACCCAACCCAACCCAACCCAACCCAACTGAAACTAAACCAACAACAAAACTACACTAACAACTCAACAAGTAACCCAAGGAAAAAAAGATATACTGTTGGAAAGGCCAATGTACAGCAATTTCCCAGGCTGAACACTTCTTTTCCTGTCACAAAAGAAGTCAGTGTGGTTCTTTTACCTGGGCTTTCTCCGAGCTGTCCTCCTGGTAACACTTTGGACACTCCCAGCAATTTGGCAGTTCCTCATTAAGCAAACCCTCTCCATCCATCTATAGGCAAAGAGAGAATTAAAATGACTTAGTCTCTTCTGCCTTTGTTACACACTAACACATGTGAGAAGCAGCTTTTGCAGGGGAAGAAAAATGGAGAGCTACTTGGTTTCAGAAGACACTAATACTACTCTCAGGATGGAAAATGGCCACCCTCATTTTGATTACTTGTCAAATGCAGGCTACAGGAAGTCTTTCAAGGCTGTGGTGGTGCATGCCTGTAATGCCAACACTCAGGAGGCAAAGTCAGGATGATCACTGACAGTTTGAGGCCAGCATGGACTACACAGTGCATTTAAGGCCAGCCTGAAATCTAAGCAAGACTCTTGTCTTAACACCTCCCTGAAAAAAGTTTTTCAAGAGTCTGGGTCAATGAGGGGTTTCCTCTCTAGATGGTATCTTGCCAATGGTGCTAGATCTGATCTTGGGGATCTGGACTGTTATTACTTGGGTTCAGAGACTAACAATTTAGTGACTCAACTGTAAAAAAGGGGATAAAATGTCTATCTTATAAGGTCGTCGTAAGGACTAAATCTGTTTTCTTTTTCTGAGACAGGGTCTCATTATGTAGATCAGGCTGGCCTTAAACTCCCAGTGATCCTCCTGCTACAACCTCCTGAGTGCTGAGATTACAGGTGTGCACCACCATGCCTAGCCTTTCTTTCTTTTTTTTTTAAATTGTTTTGAGGGGTTGGGGATTTAGCTCAGCGGCATAAGCGCCTGCCTTGCAAGCAGGCAGTCGTGAGTTCGATCCCTGGTACTGATAAAAACGGAAAAAAAAAAAAAATTTGTTTTAAGACACAGTTTCACTGTGTAATCCAGGCTGGTCTTGAACTCACTATGTGGCCCGGGCTGGCTTTGAACTCACAGCAGCCCTCTTGCCTCAGCCTCGCAAATGCTGGGATTATGAGTGTGTGCCATCATGCTTGGCTTCCCTTATTACTTTTAAAAAGCTCAGCTGTGCACTAAACCTGATAAAACTGAGGACTCCTTCAACGTTAGGTGATAATGTTGAGACTACTCCACTATATGACTATGAAGCTAAGGGTTCACAGTGGTAGGGATGGTGGCAGACACCAGTGACAGGTGTCCCATCCTTCAGTTGCTCTATGAGCCGTGATGCTCCTCACCTGGAGGCAGCCAGGATGAACAATCTCATTGCAGATACAGCATTCCATGAGTTTCTTCTCAAAGTCCTGTGTCTCTTCATTCTGATCTACCTCACCACAGAGGGAACATGTGACTGAGTGAGGCAGTCTGGGCTACAAAAGGAAAAAGACAGAGACTAAGAGAATAAATTTAAATCTTTACCATTTCAGTTTCCCTTTAAAAAGAGATTTGGTTCTTAAAATTCTCTAGTTAGTAAGTATGTGGGGAGCACTGCGATAGCTTAGAGAGAAGATGGGGTTTTGGTAGAAAAAAATGGGAAAGATGAAGGGATTCAACTGCCTGGGAGTCAGAAACCAAGAGAGACTCTTTCCTTTGAGTTGGCTTGTTCTTAAGGCTCACAAGTTAAAAAGGGATGAAGGCAAATGACTTGCCCTTCAAACATTAATCTCTTGTTTAAAAACTAGGTGAGTAAGGCCAAAAGATTAGATTATTTTTAGTACTTTCTGAATCCAGGGAGAGAAGGACAAAATGAAGAATGTCAAAGAGAGCATAACTTAGCTCTGCAGTCTCTGGTTCTATACCACTTGTCTTCTAGTCCCTCTGGCACCGATGCCCATCCCCCAACATCTTTACCCAGCAGATCACTCACTGCCAAGCACTGTCGGAGGACACAGGACTGTTTCATGCGTCCAGGTCCCCCAAACTTCTTCATGTCTCTGCAGTAGTGGCAAACACCGCACTCTCCTTGCACACAGGCTTTGCATTTCCTACAGCGCACTCTTCTCCGCCTGGCTCCTGACACAATGGGGGAGGCAGCTGCCGGCCGCACAGGTGTTAGGCGAGGAGCTGGCTTCATAGTGTGAGGCTTTGTGATAGGGATGGTTGGAACCCGCACCTTTGGCCGGGTGGGGAATTTAAGCTGGAAAGAGAAAGCAGTGAGGTCAACCATATCAAATTGCTTTAAGACTGCAGAGGGTAGAAGATTACATGGCAGTATACCTAGCTCAGAACTCTGTGGGCAAATCTGCTCACTGCCTATTTTCATAAATATATTTTACTAAAACACAACCATGCTCATTTATGTATTGTGTATGGCTACATGATACATAGAACTGAGAGAAGCCGTGGTTGTGTAGCATACCAAATCTAAAGTATTTACCATTTTGATCTCCACAGAAAAAATGTGCCAGGTACTATTTTACCCTTTTGATCTACTGCTTCAGCCGCATCCATTTCATTTTGCAGAACTGTAATATTTGTCCATCCCTGAAGATTTCTGGATAAGTGCCATGTACTTGAGTCACCCCAGAGGCCCTCTATTATTTCCTTATACTGACTATACACAATATGGTCCAAAATAAATAGGACAACAAACTACTCAAGGGTTAAACTGATCTTGTTCCTTTCTTTACCACTCTGAATCCCAGGAAACAAGCTGGTACACAGCAGATAGTCCAATTAACATTTAAGTATGGAATAGATTTCTCAGATATATGTTTATAATTTAACCATCTGCATTTACCTTGTTAATGACCTTTTCAAGGACAAAAATTACATCTTTAATTTCCTACCATATCTTTCTGACAGAAAATACTACCATATCTTTCTGACAGAAAATACTCAACAGCCAAAGATGATTAGACTGTTCTGGGGTAGTCCTATGTGGCCAAGTGGGACCTGCCACCTATGAAGGAGTAAGAGGTCCTATTCTGTCTAACCATCCATGGAATGTAGTGGCTTTGCAAATGCCAGCTAGGAAATAGCAAAGAATGATCTAATTTATCTACTAAACTCATGGCCAGGATTAGAATGCTCTCATTTATTTAACATAACCATGAAAGAGGACAATATACTAAAAATTCATAGGGAGCTTTAAGAGTCTTACATTAACAGACAGTAATTCTTTTCTTCTCTTTTCAATTCTACACTGAAAAGTCCCAATTCAGGCAACACTGAGAGTATGGTCCCATTATAATACAGAAAAACTCTCAGGCTGGGGGTTTAGCTGAGTGGCATAAGTGCCTGCCTCGCAAGCATGAGGTTATGAGTTCAATCTCTGGTACCAAAAAAAAAGAAGAAAAACTCTCATCTTTTAAATATGTACGTACTTAACTGTTTTTAAATCATATCTGCAAAGATAAACTGAGTCACTGGGTCAGAAGCATAGGAGCTGATCACTTTGGTCACAAATGCACAACTTGGCATCTGAATCTAGAGGAAGACCTTGCAGTCTGAGAATTCTGTTAAGACAGTCACCTCCAAAAATAGCCAATTGCCTTGACCTAAGAGTTAGGACAAAACTGAGTAATGATTTTCTGTCAGTTTGTATTAAAGTACCAAAACCTGTATAGTTGTTCTTTTCTTCCTGGAATAGTAATGATCAGCTAGCAAGAGGCTTAAACAGGCTGAAGATCAAGTAGAAGAGTTTCTTACCTTATCCCTTTTTGGCCACTGTACTATAGGGACTCCAGTGAGAGCTAACTTGGGGTCACTACTGGCAAGCTCCTCCAACAAAACCTGAGGGTTGGATAAGAAAGAAGGAAAAGGCAACATATGATAAACACAGTGCCAACTACTCCCAGCAGTAGCCAACCACTCAGCCTCGGACCTCTCAAAAGTACCAAGGGAAAGCACAGGCCAGCAACAGTCTTTAGACTTAAAAATAAGGAAATCAAGGATGAAAGAGTGAACTCAAGACTACTACAGTAATATAAAGACTTCAAACTTACCTTTGCACCCAACTCTTTACATATGTAGCCAGGCTAACATTTACACTAAAGCAACTAGCTACTGTAGCAACAAAGCATTACTTATCATGTTTTTCTTATATATGACAATAAAACTTAATATCATCTCTTCAAGCGCTGCCTTCATTTTGCAGAATGGAGCAACACTGCATCAAAGTCGGCTAACACTGAAAACGATCAGCAGCAGAGCATTAATGTTCTGATTTGACCCAAGATTCTGTTTTCTTTCTTTCTTTGGGGGTGTACAGTATTGGGAATTAAACTCAGGACCTTGTGCTTGCCAGGCAGGTGCTCCTGTCATTGAGCTACATACATCCCCAGCCTAGAATTTTGTTTTTTTTAAAGGCTGCTTACAGAGTCTCAGTCTCTCTCTCTCTCTCTCTCTCACACACACACACACACACACACACAAACACACAGAGTCAGCTATCTGCCTTTATTCCTAGTAATGGAACAGGTACAGTCTTAGTGGTAAGGGCAATACTTCTTATGGCTTTAATCAAATTTCTGTGACTTAGAACGACACTACAGTAAGAAACTGCCACTTAAGTTAATCACATTGGCTGTTATTTTCAGACAAATCTTTCATGTTTTCTACAGAGATTTACAAAGCCTAAACTTTCTAGAAGAATGAAAGTCTCCTTTCTCTGACCTCAGGAGCCCTAAAGCAACAACACAGCAAAAAAAAAAAAAAAAATGCAAATCTGGGGACAAGTTATACTTGGCTTATGTGTACAGGATAGGAACTGTTTCAGTAAAGACTAAACTTTAACCTAGACAGGTTGGCATGCCTGTGGCTTCTTCAGGACTTTTAATTATTTTTCTCTTATTTGTATCCTTAAGAATCATGTTCCAAATCCCAGAGTTAAGACTCAAAAAACTCCCTGCAACATCCCAAGAAGCTCCCCTATGAAGCACCCCCTTTACCAAGTTTCTAGATGCCTCACACCTTCCCCCAAACTGATCTCATCTGCAGTCGTTTTATTTACTTCAAGTTGCTATGGCACCCTATTCTGGAGCCTCCTGTTAGCACCATACTGTGTAAGGGTGAAGAGGCGGGGTGTGGTGCCACGTGGGACAAGGCTCTGGTTAGGATTTCTAATCTCCCCAGGGTGAAAAATTTGGGTCCATTAAAAATGTGTGCTAGGGAGTGCACTGCTCCCCTCCCCCATGTCACACTACTGAAGAGTAGGACTCTGCCCATTTCCTTTGCCGGAGAGAACTAAGCTGTCCACAAACAGGGACTTTCCACTTTTAGCAAAACAAACTGCATCAAAAGATTTGCGATTGTTTAAGAGAGTAGAAAAGGAACTTAACTGTTCACCAAAAGCAGTCTAATTTACCTGTAAGACTTTTGCGGGTGCCACAGGGAAGGGTAGGCGGAGAAACTGTCGGTGTGTGTGTGGGGGGTAGCTGTTCACACATACATGGCTGTTACTGGGGTATGTGTGGGTGTGGAGGGAAATGCAGATTTCCTTCCAAGCCTTATTTTGCTGGGGCCATTCAACCAAGCACGCCCTGCTTTCATCAAAAAAGGCAGACTCCAGCTGAGGCCCTATAAGAAACCATATAAAGAAGCCACCACCCCTCACTAGAGGGGCTTGGGATAGGGGAGCGGGGGTGGAGTGTGGAAAGGCTGACTCCTATCTAGGTTCCAGACATTCAGGAGAACATTCAAATACAGGCCCACACCCCACAGATCAGAGGGAGAGAAAGAGAACAGAAGGGCCTGGGTAGAAGGGGAAAAGCAATCCAAAAAGCAACGCAACCCAGTTCCAAAGCATATCCCACAGTGAAGGAACAAGTGCAGCAATGGCTCAGGCAACACCACCAAGTAACGTAAGCATTGTCCTGGACTTGCCTGTCAGGCAGCTCTTCTGCCTGTTTGCTGAGACAAAGTCCCTACAGTAATATACACCCCAAACCAGAATGCGTTTGCCAACTGATCGCCTGACCTTGCGTTTCTTGTCGCTCTGGAGCTGCCGAGGCTCTTGGGTGAAGTTTCCCCACCGTCTTTGTTTTGTTTTCTGTGTTGGAAGTTGTGCGGAAGAAGTTTGGTTTTCTGCCTCTAGGAAAATCCCGATTTACTCGAAAATCCTGAAATCTCCCAGGGCACATAAGGCAGGGTAGTCGGCTCTAACCCTTCAGGCTACCCAGAGAGGGCAGCATGCAGTGATCTGAGCTCCTTCTCGAGCCCTTCAGCTCAGCCGTGGCTTCCTGTGCCTGTGAACAATGCTGCTGCGTCACCCACATGCAGCTCCCAGAAATGCTTTGCAACGGAAGATGGCAGGAGGGGGAGCTGAGCTCGAGTGAGCTAGGCAGGCAGAGGGCCCGGCGGTTCCGCTGCAGCACTGAGAGAGGGTGTGTTCAGTCGCAGCTCTTCTGCTCCTCATTGGAGGAGGCACTGCCAGGAGGGAGCGTGGCCACCCTGTCTCCCTCCCTCTACCACCGCAACAGGAGAACTCAGGGCCAGCCCCTAAGGGCTCCTGGTGGCTGACTTCAGAAGGCGCTAGCAGAAGGGAAAGCTTTAACCCATTCTGCTTAGGCACCATGGCCCACATTTGTCCTTGTCTCAGTCCACACCCTTCCCTTCAGGGTCACTTCTTATTGTGTCAGATCTGTCTTGCTGACTGCATGCTGCGCGTACACACACACACACACACACACACACACACACACAGAATCTCTCTTCTCAGCATATACCTCAGACTGCCTCACTGGCCACAGAGAAGAAATCAAAAAACAGACTGAGCTTCTCCCAAGTTACCTTCACCTTTTATCTTTTTTGCTTTACTTGCTTTGGACATGTGGCTTCCAGTCTGTGATCCAAAACTAGCATGTTTTTCCATTTAAAAAAATATTTAGAAATAACATTCCAATCAATATGCAATACTCAATAAATTTCCCATCAACTACATCTCCAACATATGCCTTTTCTAGTTCCCACTAGAAACCATCAACATTCTAGAAATGTCTATGTAGCAATCTATTAGCAGTTCCATCATGATCAACTCAAACTAATGAGGCACAACCTAAGATCAAAGAACTTTGCTCTCCTTACTCTAACCAAGGCCCAGGAACCAACTCCATCAGCCTCCTTTGTCCATCAGAATGCTTCACCTCAGTGTATCACTCCCAGAATATGATTCTGCTTTACTGAGGAGTGAATCTGGGCCTCCCAAACTCTATGCTGGTATCCTACCACTGAGCAACATTACAGCTCCTGCTCTCATTCTTGACAGTCCCTCGGGAAACAGCCACCCTCGCATGCTTTTAGACCTGGATGCCATTTGCTGACAGCTATTTGACCAACATGTGTTGCCTACAATTCCACACATTCAGATCCTGGACAACGTGAAGTTCAGACCACCCACTCTCTGTTTGGGCTATAGGAGAAAAGGGAAGGCTGGATTTCCAGAAATCTACATGCACTGTATATCAACACTGAGGACAGGCTGGGCAGGAACAGAAGCCTACACAGCAGTAGTTTGGATCCATGTTTAAGTAATTTTTAGATCCTCACAGAATTAAAACTTGTTTTTTTTGGGAAATTACTATTACTTCTTTGACATAAACATCTAGCTGTCACTATTGAAGCCTTCTTATTCCCGGTGTAGTTGTTTCAGTAAGTTTCTAGAATAGATTCAGTGGCTCAATAGGCTTTTTTGAGGTCTGTGGCTTTATTGTCATATATCTGTAAATGTCCATATATTGAGAGCTCCACTTTTTTAACTGGGTAAAATGGAATTTTTATTCTCACTTTTTTTGAAGCAGCTCCACACTGTTTTCCATAGTGGTTGTGCTGGTTTACATTCCACCAAAAATGTAGAATGGTCCCTTTCCTCTCCCAGTCTCTCCAGCATTATTATTTGATTTCTTGATGATGGCTGTTTTTCTGAGTAAGGTGGAATCTCAGTGGGTTTTCTCTTTTTGAGACAGGATCTCAATATGTAGATCAAGCTGGTCTTGAGCTAACTTTGTAGCCCAGGCTAGTCTCGAACTTTCAACAATCCACCTATCTCAGTCTCCTGACTGCTAGGATTATAGGCATGTGCCACCATGCCTTGACTCTGCTTTTTTTTTTTTTTGGTCTTTTTAGTTTTTATCGGTATCAGGGATCGAATTCATGACTGCCTGCTTGCAAGGCAGGCGCTTATGCCGCTGAGCTAAATCGCCAGCCCCACTAAATCCCCAGCCCCTCTGCTTTGTTTTTTTGAGACAGGGTCTCGCTGTGTAGTTTAGGGTGGCCTTGAACTCACTATGTAGCCCAGGCCAGCCTCAAACTCACACAATACTCCTGTTGCAGCCTCCCATGTGCTATCACGACCAACTGGAATCTCAGTGCTGAGAATTTCATTTTTTATCAAAAGAGAAACGAAATGATATAGTCTAATGAAAAACAAAATACTTCTGACTCTCCATCCTGCCTGTTTAAACAGACACAGACACAGACATAGACACATACCTCCCCTCTTCCCTTTTTTTCTTACTCCCTCTCCACTGTCTTCCCTTTTCTTTTCCAGTACTGGGGATTAAACCCAGGCTGGTCACACTGAGCTACTCTACCAGTCCTTGAGATAGGGTGTCACTAAATTGCCCAAACTTGGGGTGAGTTTTCAAATCTCTTGCTTCAGGCTCCCAGGGTACTGGGATTATTAGCATGCTCCAACCACCTGGCCTGGTTCCTTCCTTCCTAATTTGATGTCTTGCTCTGTTGCCTGGCTGGCATCAAACTCCTGGGCTCAAGCCACTTTCCTGCCTTCAATCTTG